AAGAAGAAGGAGAAGGAGAGGAGGAGGAGGAGGAGGAGGAGGAGGAGGAGGAGGAGGAGGAGGAGGAAGAAGAAGAAGAAGAAGAAGAAGAAGAAGAAGAAGAGGAAGAAGAGGAAGAGGAAGAGGAAGAGGAAGAGGAAGAAGAAGAAGAAGAAGAAGAAGAAGAAGAAGAAGAAGAAGAAGAAGAAGAAGAAGAAGAAGAAGAAGAAGAAGAAGAAGAAGAAGAAGAAGAAACAACTAGCCATTTCGATAACAACAAACCTCATTGGTAAAACTCAAAACCAAAGTTTTGGGTGATGCTTGAAACTTATCCAGCTTGCAATATACATCAAAGCCAAAAAAAGGGGGGGGGGGGCTATAATTGAACGGGTGCAACCATCATTTTGTCAGATGTACCCACCTGTGCAGAGTTCAAGCTCACTACTTTATTATTTTCTACCTATAGTACAGGAATCTCCCTAGAGAAGGCAGCCTTCTCTTGGGAACAAAGAGGCTCCATGGAATTTAGGGGGAGTTGACCCTGGTCATTTTCAAGTTGTGCAGTGACTCCAGATTAGTTCCCCGCTTGATCCCTCCTCTCTGCCAGGCTGGGAGCTTCCCAATAATGTTAATTTTTCTAAGCCCTCCCCTCTTCCACTAAATGCCCCTGTCTATCTGAGGATTTCAGGATAAAGCCATATATTTCCAGATTTCAGGAAAAAGCCATAAGGATTCTCTGGCTCTGCATTTTTCCTCCTTGTCCAGGAGGACCCAGATCCTAAGCTGCACGAAAAGTCAACTTAGCTGATGAAAGAAAAACAACCAAGAATCAGACAGCAAATGTGTCTGCCTCAGTTACATCAACGAGGAAATATTCTATTTCTGCATTTCTGGAGGAGGTGCAGAGCGGTTGGTGGAGAGGAGGCTGGAAATCTGCAGAGGATAACTGAGATCTGGTTTATCTTTTAAGTCGGTGGTAGATCTGATCTGTAAAAGTATTGATTAACGCGATCAATTCTAAGAATCTTGTCAAGATTGGAAGGCAGGCTGAGCGGAACAAAGATGATTGATGGCCTGGAGACTGAGTCTTGCAAGAAGGATGTTAGGGCTCCAGCAAATCCACCCCCATTCAAATCCTAAGTCTCTAGCTGCATCTCTCAAAGTAAAAAAAATGATTTATTAGGAGTGGCCATGTCGGCATTAGCTGGGTGCAGCCAACGCTAAAATACATCATTCATTTCCCCCTTGACCCTGGTCTTTCCCCCACCCCCTTTCTGCTGGCAGGTATATTGTCCAATGGGAACCATCCATAGCCAGAGTCATCAATCATGCGCTCCAGTAATAATCTTGTGTGCCAACAGCTTCGGCTGCCAAGGCGATTATCTGAGGCATTTAAGGAATGCACTGCTTTCCCCCACTCCCTTTCTGCTGGCAGGTAAAAAGACCAAAGGAGTATTATTTTTTAAGTTGACAAAGGAGGGATTGTGGGAGCCAGGAATGTGTGGATTTGAGAAAAGGCAACATGGTGAATCATGGCAGTGTTTTCGACGTATAGGTACAGGTGGTCTTCGACATACAACAGTTCATTTAGTGACCATTCAAATGGCACTGAAAAAGGTGACTTGTGGCCATTTTTCACACTTACAATCTTTGCAGCCTCTCCCCTTAATCATGTCATCAAAATTCAGGCACTTGGCAACTGGTTCATACTTATGATCGTCGCTGTGTCCCAAGGTCGCGTCATCCCCTTTTGCGACCTTCATCCCCTTTTGCGACCCAGGTTCACTTAACAACTTATCAACTGTGATGATTCACTTAACTGTGGCAGGAAAGGTTGTAAAATGGGGCAAAACTCATCTAATGAATGTCTCACTTAACAACAGGCATTCGGGGACTCAATTGTGGTCGTAAGTCAAGGACTACCTGTACACAGTATTGGGAATGTAAGAGCAGTTGGAGATGACGGCTAGACAGAAAGAAGATCCAGCAAAAGTTGGATAACCTTCGCTTGGGGATGTTCTGAACACAGGGTCCCTTCTAAAATCTAGGATTCTATAGATTGTGCTGAAATGAATAAATTGACCATAAAACTAAAAGAGAAAGAAGAGTCAGAGTATTATGATATTTGGGATAATTGGTTGAATAAGAGAAATAAAGATGAAAGGAAATAAGAAAGTTACAGATAAAAATATATAAATGTATATAAAGATATACCAATGTAGATGGGTTTGCAAAACAATTTGTATAATAATGATGACACAGTACTGTTAAAATTAAGATCAACATGTTTTAAAGTTGGAAAAGAACAATAAAAAATATTGAGAAAAAAATAAAAGCTAGGATTCTAAGCTGCTGAAATTAAAACTGAAATAAGCCAACGAGATTTCGATGCGCTGTTGTTTCTATAGATACCACCACTGCCACCTTCTATTTTTTCCCCACAGCCCTTCCCTAGGAAACCTGCCAAGTCTTTTGCTGCAATATCGCTCTGCATCGCCTATCCGTACTCTTCCTGGAACAGACTTTTTCTCATTCTCTCGAAGACGGAAAGAAAGTTCAAAACAATCTCATTAGATGAAGGGGTTGAAAGTAAGCAGAAGGGAATGAAAAGAGAGGCAAATGTAGAGTTCTTCACCAGAGACACACAGTTATACAGGAATAATCCTGGGCTGGAAAACTGAATAAGAAGCAAAGGTGTGATGCATAGAAAGGTAACGGAAGTGTCATGCCCCTGTTGGAGACTGACTCTGAGGGAGAGGAGGAACAGCCGACAGGGAGTGGAAGTGGGGCTCTGCGGAGGTTGTGGAAGAGGCTGGGGAAGGACAGAGGCTGGCTGGGCAGTCAGAGGAGGAGCCAGGCCCATCCCCTCTTCATCCTAGGGCACACAGGGAGGAGAGGATAAGGGAGAGACTGGTCTACGGGGGAGGAGAGGGCCTTGATCCTCTTCATGGGCTGCAACTGTGACAACTGGATAAGAGGACGGACATGCGTATGGGCGAATGCTAAAAACAAAGTGTGGAAATATCTCCAGTTTATGGTTCCTGAGTTTGACGTCCTTCCCAGTGTGTGTTCTGTTATCTGTGGACGTCTTCAAGCCCTTATCTTGCCTGGTTTGTGATGCTTTTTCCCTCCTTCTTGTAACTGTTTGTGTGGGAGTTTTTTTTGTCTTCCATCAAGGATATTTGGAGCTTGGAAGCAAAGTGAAGGAATAAAAGGGGCTTCACCAGGTTTTTGTGACTGTGTTTGTTTTGTATCTCCACCTATGGAGATTGTCACTCATCCAGGTCATGGCTGTCCCAAAGGTGTTTTTCTCTTCTTTTTTCAAAAAGGCAACTGGACTTTCTGGTTTAAATTAATGTTAAGGCTTCTGTCTTCTTTAATGTTGTTGTGGTCTGCCGCCAGCCTGCAGAGATGGCAGCAGAGTCGGACAGTAGGGAGGAACATGGGCCAGTCTAGGAGTCTGGGGAGGACTCGTACGATGGTCCTGCGTCCGATGCAGAGATGGGGCCAGGACCATCTGGGAGTGGGGTGCTGCCTTCGGAGCCTCCGGAATCTGGCAGCAGCGAGGCAGAGGAACAAGGGGAGCCTGTTCCCAGTACGCATGTGCGCACAGCTGCTAGAAGGCAAGAGCAGCTGAGACAAAAGGGGCGACTCAGGAGTAAGGCTTGGAGGTGATTGCCCCTCCCATACTGTAAGGTATAAAGGAGCAGCAAAGGGACATGAGTCTTTGCAGGAAGCAACCTTGTTTGTTCTGTTTGGATTAAACCATGAAGCTCTGTGTGTACTCCGTTTGGCTTTTTACAGTTAATTTGGCACTTTAGTTGTTAGCAGCAATTCAAAGCAGAGAAAGGTGGGTGCTTATCTCGAGAGACTGTTAGGGACTCATTACGGGCTGGGAATGAACATAATTCCCAGCTGTTGAAATAAAAAGAGAGTTGTTTGGACTAAGTGCATGATTAATTACGGTCTCAGGAAGCCTTGGTCAAGAAAGCTACATTATCTTCCCATGTGAATTTGATGTATCTGTCCACAGAGTTGATATGTTTGGTGAATGCTTCCAAGAAATGCCATCAGAAAGTCCAGTTGCCTCTTGGGGGTGGGGGAAAGCACCTTTGGGTCTGCAACACCTGCATTTCAGCATCAAAGGAAGAAAGACTTTCCACTGATTCTGGATTCGTCTGTTCTCCATTCAAGCCCGCTATCCGATTTTGGGTTCCAAATGTCAGGGAAGATTCAGACCAAACTGAGCAGGTTCAGAGAAGAGTAACAGATGATCGATCTTATCAAGAGAGATGGAAAAATCTGAGAAAAAGTGATTGAAGGAGGTAAAGAATTTACATCTGTCTTCAAACATGAAAATGTTCCATGCAGAGACGATCGCAAGCACACAATAAGGACTTGAAGTTACAGGAAGTGAGACAGTTTTGTGTAGTTGTGCTGGTCTAGAAAACTGGGAGACGGTGAGTTCTAGTCCCACCATAGACGTAAAAGCCAGCTTGGTAACTTCGGGCCCATCACAAGGAGACAGTGAGTTCTAGTCCTGCCTTAAGTATGAAAACCAGATGGGTGACTTTGGATCAGTTATTCTCTCTCAGCCCAACTCACCTCATGTGGGGAAAATGGGAGGAGGGAAAAGTATTAGGTATGTCTACCATCTTGAGTTACTTACAAAGTGATTAAAATGGGACAAACATTAAATGAATGAGTGAGTGAGTGAGTGAATGTTAGAGGAACAAGGAGAATGTGCTGAACTGAGCCTTGGGGCTGGAAGAGTTTGACCCCAAAGAGAAGTTCCTACTTTCCTGGAGCCTTCTGGAAGCTTGTAAAACTTTGGGGATCTGGAAAGCCTTTGGGTCTTGAATGCTGTAACACTTGGAATGTTGTCTTAATTGTAATTGCTGTTCTATTTTTTTTTAATGTTGCATTTCTGTTACTGTATGCTAATCTGAGTGTAAGAGTTGCAGCTTTTGGACATTGCTTAAAGCAGCCTTGAATTATTAAAAATAAAAAAGCAGCCTTGAAGAGGCTTATAAACGCCCAAATAAATAAATGCCAGATCCCATTGTATTTTTGGAAGTCCCCCCCCCCCCACCAGTAAGGACCGTTTTATGGAGGAATCAGGGACCAGAAAGATGGCAAGTTCCCCTATCCGGGCACAGGCAGGGAAGCCTCCTGTTTGGGATGCTTTCATTGGGCTTCCTCCACTGATCAGACGGTGGACCAGGTGGCTTCAACTGATCTTTCCAATTTTAGATTTCACCTGTTTTCCTCTAGTGTGTGGGGGGGGGGGGAAGGAAAACCCAGAGTGATGCCTCCGGCATCTTCTGAACTATTTCTATGGATGCCCTTGAAGCTCATGCAAATAAACACAGTTGCTTGTATCTGAATCCCCCTCTCCTCACCTTCATCAATGAGGGATTCTACAGACAAGGTTCGGTTGCGCATGTTGAGGGAGTCGGTGGACTGAGAAAGGATTCTCCGGATGCCCAGAGGGGATTCATCGTTGAACGTTCTGAAAAGGAAAGCAAAATTCGAGGGATTGACATTGTTAGCTATCTTTTCAACATGCAGTGGACAATTTTATCCTCTCCTGCCAACTGGCAAATGTTCTGGAGGACACCAGTTGGAGGTGAGCTACGCAGAATAATAGAGTTGGAAGGGACCTTGTAGGTCATCTAGTCAAGCCCCCACCCCCACCCAAGCAGGAGACCCTACACCATTTCTGGGCAGTCCAGTCTCTTCTTGAAAGCCTCCAGGGATGAAGCTCCCACAACTTCCGAAGGCAACTTCTGTTCCATCGGTTGATTGCTCTCCCTGTCAGAAAATTCCTCCTTATTTCCAGGTTGAATCTCTCCTTGATGAATTTCCATCCATTCTTCCTTGTCTGGCCTTCAAGGGTGCCTTGGAAAATAGCTTGATCCCCCCCCCCCCCCCCCCGGCAGCCCCTCAAGTATTGGACGACTGCTCTCCTTTCTCCCCTGGTCCTTCTCTTCCCTAGTCTAGCCAGGCCCGGTTCCTGCAACTGTTCATCGTATGTTTTAGCGTCCAGTCCCTGCATTCCAACAGAATAAAAGAGTTGGCTAATTGTTCTCACTGTCAGGAAACGTCTCCTTAGTTCTAGGATGGATCTTTCTTTGATAAGCTTCCACTGTTACTTCTTGTCCTGCTCTCAGGCACTTTGGGGAATAAGCTGACCCTCTCTTCTCTGTGACAGCCCCATAAATATTGCTATGATATCACCCCCAGCCCTTCTCTTTGTTAGGCTACACACATCCAGTTCCTACAACTTCTGGAGCAGTCTATAGACGTGTTTTCCCTGAATTTCATAGACAAATCATCCTTTTTTTTTTTAACTTACCCTGCAATGTTTGTAGTGGAGACACTTTTGGAAAGCGACAAGGTGGGGCGGCCTCTGCGGGATCCCAGCAAGGTCTGCCGAAAACTCTCAGATGGGTAAATGGCAGAATTGGGACGCTCCCTTGTGATGGCTAAAAAATACGGACAGACATGCAGTGAGAGGTTAGAAGCAGAGATGATATTCAGCCGGTTCTGAGTGGTTTTGGAGAACCGGTGGTGGAAATTTTGAGTAGTTTGGAGAACCAGCCAATACCGCCTCTGACTGGCCCCGCCAGCCCCATCTCTTCTCTGCCTCCCATTGAGTCCCAGCTGATCGGCTGGGTCTCCTTTGGTTGCCCTGAACAGGAGAACGGAGCTGGAAAGCAGGTCAGTAGGGTGGGGAGAGAATGGAGATTTTGTAGTAACCTTCCCCTGCCATGCCCACCAAGCCACGCCCACAGAACCGGTAGTAAAAAAAATTTGAATCCCACCACTGGCTAGAAGGCCACATTCTGTTGTTTTGAAACTCAGCCGTTTCGCATTTTTCAAGCTGAGGAAAAAAATACCCTTGGATAGCCATGAAGAAAAGTTCTACGGCTCGAGGGAACCTAGAATCCTTTGCCACTCTCTGGAGCCAAGCAGAGCAACCCAGAAGACATGGTTAAAAAAAGGGAAAGACAGCCTGATATTCAAGAGTTTTGTCAAGATATCTCGAGAGCTGATGAGAAGGGAATTCAAGGCCCAATTTCCCATTTTTTAAAAGGGATGCAAGTTGGAGAATGTAAATCAAACTCCATTCTTCTTCTTTGTGTATTTTACATTTCTTCGTTTTTAAAATGACAGTTTGTATCCCACCCTTCTTATGTTGGTCCATGGCCATAATAAAGAGTTGATATACAGGTAGTCCTTGACTTACAACAGTTCACTCAGCGACCGTTCAAAGTTACAATGGCACTGAAAAAAGGGACTTTTTTCACACTTGCGACCCTTGCAGCCTTCCCCCCATCGTCACGTGATTTACATTCGGATGCAACTGACTTGCATTTACGACAGTGGCAGTGTCCCGGGGTCATGCGATCCCCTTTTGTGACCTTCTGACAAGCAAAGTCAATGGGGGAAAGCCAGATTCACTTAACAATGGTGTCGCTAATTTGACAACTGCAGGGATTCCCTTAATAGAAGTGGTGAGAAAAGTCATAAAATGGGGCGTTACAAACGCACTTAACTACAAATACAAGCGAGTTTTTACTGGCTTTAGCTTACTTTACTTACTCTCCCTTAGCAACATAAATTTGGGGCTCTGTTGGTGTGGTGGTTTGCCTGCAGAACGGGGACCAGTCTGGGAGTCTGGAGAGGAATCAGATGAGGGTCCTGCGTCGGATGCAGAGATGGGGCCAGGACCCTCTGGGAGTTATGTGCTGACTCCGGAGCTTCCAGAGTCTGGCAGTAGCAAGGCAGAGGACCCAGGGGAGCCTGTTCCCAGTGTGCGTGTGCGCAGAGCTGCTAGAAGGCATGAACAGTTAAGACAAAAGGGAGTAAGGCTGGGAGGTGATTGCCCCTCCCATAAGGTATAAAGGACAGGCAAAGGTAGAGAAACGTTTGCAGGAAGCAAAGTCGTTCACTCTGTTCGGATTCAACCTTGAAGCTCTGTGTGGACTTTGGTTCTTTACAGTTCATTTGGCACTTTAGTTGTTGGCTGCAACTCAAAGGAGAGAAAGGTGGGTGCTTATCTTGAGGAACTGTTTGGGACTCATTACGGGCTGGGAATGAAAATAATTCCCAGCGTTGAAATAAAACAAGAGTTGTTTTAACTAATGTGTGTGCTTAATTATGGTCTCAGGAAGCCGTGGTCAGAACAGTTGGGACTGCCTAAGTTGAGGGCTACCTGTACAACAGTCTTGTTTCAAAGAGAGGAAATTGCTCCCTGCCTTCGCTGGACTTCCCAGCACCACTCACTTTTATTCCTGAGGGACACCGTCTGCAATGCCGAACTGTTCTTCAGCAACGCCGCCTTTTGCTGCTGCAGGGGGCAGCGACAGAAGGAAGAAAGAAGACATTTAAAAAGTCATCAAAATGACATAACTCAGATCAAGAAGCTTGGAAATCCCTTCTCTCTCTCTCTCTCTCTCTCTCCTTCCCTCCCTCCCTCCCTCCCTCCCTCCCCCCCAACCCAACAGAGTTATTGTTGTGGAGAAAATAGGAGGAGGAAGATATGTTGGATATGCTCACCACCCTGAGTTATTTGTAAAAAGGGGGGATACCATTAAACAAATAATCAATTAATCGTAGGAAGAGAAATAGCCCTTCTTGAAATTTCTGTCTTTCATAAAATATTAACATTTTAATACAGTAGATTAAACAGAGTTGGAAGGGGCCTTGTAGGTCATCTAGTCCAACCCTCCACCCAAGCAGGAGACCCTACACCATTTTTGACAGATGGGCAATCCAGTCTTTTCTTGAAAGCTTCCAGGGATGAAGCTCCCACAACTTCTGAAGGCAACTTCTGTTCCATGGGTTGTAGAAGTATTGTAGATATATTGTAGAAGTAAACTCTCTCAAGCTCAGCCTGTCTTTCAGCCCTTGTTCCTCCTGGATTCTTGGAAGCTCCCGGACAGAGATTATCTTTTTTTTAAAAATAAATTCTGTGAATTGCCAAATGAATTACAGAGCCTTTTTTTCATCCTGGCACTCTCCAATGGTCAGCCAAAGGAAGATTGGCCTTTGTCAGCTTTGGAAGCTATAATTTAGTTAGAACTGTAATGGTGAACCTATGACACGCGTGCCACAGGTGGCACACAGAGCCATTTTGCCGGCATGCGAGCTGCAGGCAAACTTACCTCACTGTGCATGTGTGCACCTCACAGCTGATTTTTGGCTGGTTTGAGGCCTTTTTCGGCCTCCCAAAGGCTTGAGGAAGGCTTCTGCAGGCTTCTACAAGCTTTGTAGGCCGAAATCTAGCCCCGTTTAGTTACTTCCAGTATTTTTCGAAAAACAGGAAGTGATGAAACAGGGCTAGTTTTTGGCCTGCAAAGCTTGCAGAAGCCTGCAGAAGCCTTCCTCAAGCCTTTGGGAAGCCGAAAAAGGTCTCAGACTGGCCGAAAATCAGCTGTGAGGTGCAGTGCAGGTAAGGGGGTGGCGGGGGTTGGGTGGGTGGGTGATTGTGGGCGCATTCATAGGGGGCATGGGGGGGGCGTGCATTGCCTTCTGGGTGCTGGCACACAAGTGCAAGCATGCAAGCGCACGCACAATTTTTGTCACAGGAGCCCAAAAAGGTTAGCCACCACTGAGTTAGAATTTGGGAATTTGGGAGGGGGAATTTAATAGAGAGGTGGAAGTTTAGATGTAACAACATTCTTCTCCTAAAGTCAAGGACAAGTGACCCTGCACCTGGGAAGGAGTGGTTGGAGGAATGTCTCCAGTTGGGACGATGGGTGATTGGACCATGGGATGGACTTGTGGCTGCAGGGGAGGGATTTTGAATTTTCAATTATGAAGGGAAAACCCAGAACTCTCAGATTTGGGTTTCCCCAGATGTGCCAGTATGACTTCTTTAGTTTTAGGGTCATTTTTCAAGCTTTTCCAGAGGGGCTTGAAACTTGAGAATGTTTTTTAAAACCGAAGTTGAGTCCCCCAGTCCAATCAGGAAGGGCAAAGGGGGCAGTCCCTGCCTGTCAGCCAATTCTCCTTTTGCTCTACCTGCTCACCTTTTGCTTGACTTTGGTACAGTTGGGCAGGCTGTCTTTGCAGCGGTTGTGAATGGTCACATTGCAGGCTGGAAAGGAAAAACAAAGGCAGATTGAGAAAGGGACATTAGAAAAATAGGATAAAGAGACTATACAGTATTAATGTTATTGCGATGAATGTTATTGTAAACACCTTGATTACGATTGCCTAAAAACAATTGTAGCCAGACAACACGCTGTTTGATTGAAATGGAATTTTTATATATTATATTAATAAAATAAATAAAACTTTTTAAAAAAGGAGAGAAAGGGACATCAAAGGACATCAGTTGAACACAGACACAAACACACACATATTGGCGCACGTGACTGATCTCCAAAAGCTGAGCTTCATCAGCAGGTAGATGGGAGACCACCAGGAAATCCCAGGGCCATAGGTTACACTGGAAAGGCCAAAATAAAAAAATAAAAAAATTGGGAGCAATTAAAGGCAAACCACTTCTACATTAGGGCTGTATAGATGCGATTTGAAGGAGACAGTCTTCAGATATAAAGCCATAAATATGCCTTTCCCACCCACCCCAAACAGATTGGCTAGGATTGCTTCCCAGGACTACATACACGTCTTGGGTTCAGTATAAAATGGTGCCTGCATTTGTCCACCTGTTGTTTTTACACCTTACATTAGTTCATGCTAAGTGATAGTTAACATTTTTAGCTGATAGAATACAGAGTTGGAAGGGACCTTGAAGATCTTCTAGTCCAACCCCCTGCTTAGGCAGGAAAACCTACACCACTTCAGACAAAGGGTTATCCAACATCTTCTTAAAAACTTCCAGCGTTGGAGCATTCACAACTTCTGGAGGCAAGGAGTTCCACTGGTTAATTCTTCTCACTGTCAGGACATTTCTCCTTAGTTCTAAGTTGCTTCTCTCCTTGATTAGTTTCCATCCTTTGTTTCTTGTCCTGCCTTCAGGTGCCTTGGAGAATAGCCTGACCCCTTCCTCCTCTCTGTGACCACCCCTCAAATATTGGAAGACTGCTATCACGTCTCCCCTGGTCCTTCTTTTCATTGAACTAGGCATACCAAATTCCTACAACTGTTCATCGTATGTTTTAGCCTCCAGTCCCCTAATCCTCTTTGTTGCTCTTCTCTGCACTCTTTCCAGAGTCTCAACATCTATATATGGCTTTTATATATGGCTAAATTTAAATCTGGACAGGATGCGAGTTCTCTTGTAAATATATTGCTGATAATGTATTTGCATAGCTTTCTGGAGAGCATCGTGAAGCAGCATTAGCCATCAGAGAAGTACAAACTTGGTTGGAGTCTAATTTTTCACTTAGGTTGATGACATTTGCTCATGGATGGTTTCATTCTTTTTCTTTCTATCTACAGTATATCTATATCTATCTTATCTTATCTTATCTTATCTTATCTTATCTTATCTTATCTTATC